TCCTCTCAGGTCAGGAACAAGACAAGGATGCCCCCTTTTGCCACTTCTATTTAACATAGAAGTGGAAGTTCTAGCCAGAGCAATTAGGCAAGAGAAAGAAATAAAAGGCATCCAAATTAAAAAGAAAGAGGTAAAATTATCTCTGTTCACTGATGATATAATTCTACATGCAGAAAACCCTAAATATTCCAAAAATAAACTGTTAGAATAAACGAATTCAGCAAAATGGCAGGATTCTAAGTCAACACACACACTAAAAATCAGTTGCATATCTATGCATTAACAATGAATAATCTGAAAAGAGAATTATGAAAACCTTAATAGTAGTATTAAGGCTGCTTAGGAATTAACTTAACCGAGGAGGTGAAAGACCTACACAGTGAAAACTACAAAACATTGCTGAAAGAAATGAAAGACGACACAATAAAATGGAAACACATCTCATATACATGGATTGGAAGACAATATTGGTAAGATGTCAATACTATCCATAGCAATCTATAGAGTCAATGCAATCTCTATCAAAATCCCAATAATATTTTTTTCAGGATGGAAAAAACTCATCGTAAAATTCATATGGGATCTCAAGGGACCCTGAATAGCCAAAACAATCATCAAATCATACAAGTGATAAGGTACTAATATCCAGAATATAGAGAGAACTTGTAAAACTCAGCAACAAAAAGCAACCCAATCAGAAAATGGGCAAAGGACTTGAACAATACTTCTTCAAAGATATACAATGGCCTACCTATAAGCACACAAAAAGATGCCCAACATCACTAACAAATTAAAAACCATAATGAGCTATCACCTTGCACTACCAAAAAAATAGAAAGAAAGAAAGAAAGAAAGAAAGAAAGAAAGAAAGAAAGAAAGAAAGAAAGAAAGAAAGAAAAAGACACAGAAAGAGATAAAAAAAATAATAATAAAGAAAAGAACTATTGGCAAGGATGTGCAGAAACTGTAATCCTTATGCACTGTTGGTGGAACTGTAAAATGGTACAGCCACTATGGAAAACAGTATGAAGGTTCCTCAAAAAATTAAAAATAGAATCACCATATGATCCAACATTCCACTTCTGGGTATATATTGAAAAGAACTGAAAGCAGGGTCTTGAAGAAATATTTGTACACCCATATTTATTAGAGCATTATTCACAATAGCTAAAACATGGAAACAACCCCCATGTCCACTGACAGATGAATGAATAACCATAATATACATACGACGGAATATTGTTCAGCCTTAAAAAGGCAGGGAATTCTGACACATGCTACGGCATGGCTGGACCTTGAGAACATTATGCTAAGTGAACTAAGCCAGTAACACAAAAACAAATACTGTATGATTCTACTTTAAGACAGTCAAAATCACAGAAATGGAAAGTAGAATGGTGGTTGCCAAGGTGAGGGGAGAGGGAAAATGGGGAGTTAGTGTTTAATGGGGATAGTTTCAATTTTTCAAGATGAAAAGAGTTATGAAGGTGGGTCAGTAGTGATGGCTGCAAAACATTATGAATGTGTTTAATACCAATGAACTGTACACTTAAAATAGTTAATGGTAAAATTTATGTATGGTATTGTACAATTTTAAAAACTGAAAAACAAAACAAAATCAGCAGATGGACAGAAAGGAATGGTCTTTCATTTGGTCATATAAAGATAAAATAACCTAATGCGTGAAAACATTTTGTAAACGATAATGTGCCACGTTACACACTGATCTAGATTTATTTGAACATTTATCAAAATTACATGTTTTAGATCAATGTGCTGACATTACCCTTAAACATGAATAAAAATGCTTTTAAACAATCAGAATTATGTATAATTTTCAGTATTCATTTTTCATCCTGAAATATTTTATTTATATTATGTTCCAAAGCTTACAAATAAATTAAAAATAAAAAATTTCTTTAATTACAACTGGATTAGCATAGAGTTAGGTGAGTAGTAAATAGTCAAAAATATTTTTGTCAAGGAAAATTTGCAAATCAACTGAAATTCAGTAATTAGATTAACAACTAAAAGAAACTGAAGAAGATACAAAGATATAGAAAGATATTCCATGTTCTCAGAGTAGAAGAATCAACATAGTTAAAATGACCTTATTACCTATACAGATTTAATGCACTCCCCATCAAAATTCCATTGGCATTTTAAAAAGAAATAGAACAAAAAAATCATCAGATTTGTATGAAGCACAAAAGACCCTGAATAGCCAATACAATCTTGAAAAAACAAGGCCAGAAGTATCACATTGCTTGACTTCAAATTATACTATAAAGTGACAGTAATCAAAACAGCATGGTATTGGCAGAAAAACAGGCATACAGACGAATGGAACAAATTGAAAGCCCAGAAATAAATCCTCATATATAAGGACAAATAATTTTCGACAAAGGAGCCAAAAACATACAATGGAGAAAAGAAAGCCTTTTTAATAAATGGTGGTGGAAAAACTGGAAAGCCACATCAAGGACCTGAATATAAGACCTGAAACAATAAGTTGCATAGAAGAAAACATAGGAACTAAACTCAAGGGCCTTGGACTTAAAGAGGATTTTATGAATTTGACCTCAAAGGCAAGGCAAGTAAAAGCAAAAATAAATGAATGGGACTACATCAAACTGAAAAGCTTCTGCACAGCAAAAGTTAAACTGTCAACAACGCAAAAAACCATCTGAATGAGAGAATATATTTGCAAACGTCTCTGATAAGGGCCTAATATCCAAAATATACAAAGAACTCATATAACTCAACAATAAAACAATCCAATTAAAAAATGGGCAGAGGATCTGAACAGACACTTCTCCCAAGAAGATATGCAAATGGCCAACAAACATATGAAAAGATACTCAACCTCATTAGCTATTCGAGAAATACAAATCAAAACCACAATGAGATACCACCTCAAACCTGCTAGAATGGCTATCATCAATAGGACATGTAAAATAACAAGTGCTGGAGAGGTTGTGGGCAAAAAGGAACCCTCATACACTGTTGGTGAGAATGCAGATTGGTATAGTCACTACGGAAAACAGTATGGATGTTCCTCAAAAAACTAAGAATTGATCTACCATCTGATCCAGCAAGCTCTCTCCTGGGTATTTACCCCAAAAACCTGAAAACATTTATCCACAAAGATACAAGCACCCCAATGTTCATAGCAGCATTATTCACAGTGGCCGGGACATGGAAGCAACTGAAGAGACCTACAATAGATGATTGGATAAAGAAGATGTGGTACATATATATAATGGAATATTACTGAACCATGAGAACAGATAAAATACTGCCATTTGCAACAACATGGATGGATCTTAAGATAATCATGCTAAGTAAAATAAGTCAGACAGAAAAAGTTAAAAACCATATGATTTCACTCACATGAGATATAAAATTGAAAGCAACAAACAAACATGACAAAGAGAGACTCAGACACACAATAGTTTAGTGGTTACCAGAGGGAAAGGGGTTGGGGGAGGTAGACAGGGGTAAAAGGGTCAAATATTTGGTAATAGAAAGAAATCTAACTATGGGTGGTGAACACACAATGCAATATATATGACATACCGTTGAATTGTACACTTGAAACTTATTAGATTTCATAGATCGCCCCGATAATTTTTAATCAAAGAAAGGAAATTCAGTAATTATTCTTAAACAAATAGAAATACCAAGTAGCAAAACGGAGAGATTAACATCTAACTCAAACAATATAAAGTGCATATGTGTGTTTGAGACAAACAATACACAGCTTCTGAGGCTAAGATGTATGCATAAATTAAGGTGGAAGCTTAGCCCTAGTAAAAAACATCTTACTAGAGGTACATTTCAAAGACTAAAATAAAATTTAAAACATGCTTAAAATCTTGCTTTTTAATAGTTATTTAGAACAAGCTAAGGCTTCCTAGTACTTGCCTCTTGTAATCTAAAAACGACAGGGATTTTCTTTTCTGTACAGGCAGCTATGAAATTATCAGGTAGTAACTGTCCATCTGAAAGAAACTGGTCATCTTTTCCTTGATCAATTAGTATGTCCAGTTGAGAACCTGGATAGGACTTCACAAGATGGGTAGCATCATAAGCCTATAAAAAGAGGAGAAATACTGAAAAACAAATTTAAAAGTGTTCAGAAAGATATTCTTCAGAATATACTATACTAGAACCAAATAGAAATTTAAAGTCATTTAAGCTATAAAGCTGATTAAATTGGAAATAAGCTTTTAAGATGGCTTAAAATCTGACGTGACTGGTTTTTATTTACAAGGTTTTCAGAACTCTGGTTCCCAATGATAGCCTCTTCTCTACTTTCAAGCAGTCTCAGACCAGTGGTAAGAATCCTATCATCTCAAGCATTCTTTATAGTATATCCTTTTCTCTTCTAAACCTTTAAGGTTCTTAATGGTCTATCAACTCCGTAAGTAAAAAAAAAACATAACTCTTTTCCTTGAAAATCTCTCTACAAATTGACCATTTCTTCTAACTCTATTATCTTTTTCTATTTCCAAATATTCTCTATTTCAAATAAATAGTCTATTTTTGGTCTCTTCATTTTAGCTCTAATTCCAGACATAAATACATTCAGCCTTATTTTTTGCCATTTATTGAACAGCATGAAATGTCTATCTCCATGAACTTTCAGAAAGACTTGATTTTAATAATCTGAATCATATTAACAACTCCTCAAAATTATATGAGAAGCTGCCATTAGTTACAATTATATTTTTTACCATCCACCTTTAAATAGTCTTGATTTCAGATCTATTCTCTAACCACAACTTTTATGCTTTGATGAAGACAAACAAAAACACAAATTATTCCTCCTTTAAAATACCATGCTTTTTAAGACTTAAATCTTAAAAGGAGTGAAAAGGGACTTATAAAGTTCAACTAGTTAAGTTCTATGATTCCATCATTCTGTATGCCCTCCTTATTGCAACAGTAAGTTAAATAACAGCCTAAACAAAGTATAATTAAGATAATAAAATCCACTGCCACTTGGAGAAAAACTGTGTAATTAGATCCCTTATAGTTTATCTGTGCCTCTACCTCTCTCCTCCTCCTCTCAATCAGTTGTTTTTTTTTTTACCTAACTTTTCTATTAGACCATAAACACCCTGTGGACAGGAAAGGGTCATCACCTTTGTGACGTAAGATCTCAAACTGCATAGACTAAGCACATGGTGAGAACGCAAAATACTGAATGTGCACTGTCAGTTCTCAAAGTATCTAAATTAATCTTTTCAGCACTATTCCAATATAATAAAAATCTAAGCCTAAAAACAAAACTCTAATCTAGTGAGTGAAGAATTAACTCTCCAATGTGTTAGAATTTCAATGATCTATCTTAAACAAAATAGAGGTCCATATGTAAATAACCTTGAAAACACAAGACAGAAAGGTTTTTTTCCCCACTCTAGTATTTCCTACTTGTTAACTTTACATGTGATGAATTCATTTGTGAAATATTCACTCTTGGTAGAGTTTGCAAATGGACCATTTCTACACAAGAGTAAAATGTGTCTCAGAAGAGCCATTTTTATTTTCATTTTGAAGCATCTGATCTCACGTTTGAAAAAGCAATCTTGCTATTGAGAATAGTCTCATCAATGTACATTACAAAATATCTATTTTTAAAGATCTTTTTGTTTTTTTGTTAGAAAATAAACTGAACTCATATTTTATTCCACTATTTTGTCTTTGTAATGAATAGTTCTGTTTCAGTTTTGGCTATTTTTTTCCCCTGTGGACTGGGGAGTAGATAGGGGGCCTGGTTGGATTTTCAACCCAGAACCATCTCTTCCTTGCTGAAGCAATCTGCAGCCTGGCTCTGGACTTTGCTTTTTTTTTGAACTTTGTTTTCAGATCTGATGTGACTGGGATCCCTTTGTGTCCTGGGCAGCAGTAGTGCTCCACCATCAAGCATCAGCTTCAGACACCTCACAGAACCGATGGAAATCAATGCTCTGATACACTTTGATGTCGTCAATGGTTCCAGGAAAAGTGGTTCCTCACAAGAGCAAGGCAAAGAGGACCACGCAAGGCAGGGCATGGTAGCTGTGATCCACACAACTTTCCCAGAAGTCTTCATTCCCTTCCACAAGTTTAAGTAGTGCAGGATGATGACCAGCAGCAGGCAGGATATGGGCTGCCACTAGGGAGGGTCCAGGTCATGGATGCAGCAGCTCTCATGGAGGTACAGCACACTGCATTTGGAGAGAGGAAGGTGGGAGTCCTAGAGGTGCACTGCCTCCCCACCCAGAATGGTAATTGGACAGCTGAGCTGGCCCAGAGACCTGCCCTCCCCAACTCCACACAGCAAAAAGGACTCAGCAGGGCAGGACCAGAGACTCCATCCAGAAAGGCCAGGCCTACTAGCCCTAGCTGAGGTGCAGGGTCCACCCTTGAGGTAAGCGGAGAAGATGGGTGTGACATGCTGGGAACTCACAGAGGCCCAGCCCTGGCCTCCCTGATTTGGTGCTGGGGCGACAGCAGGGGAACAGGTACCTTGGGTCTTTGAAGAAGGAGCTGCAGAAGCTAGAGGAAAGCTGCTCAGTGATGCGGTGACCGCTGCTGCGCATGGAAGCTCTAGGGTACCTCTGCAGGGGTGAGGCTAAGAGGACTCGGAGCAACACAGCATGACACACAGGCGCCTGCCCTGTTCCCTGAGAGTGACCACCTACCACAAGTAAGTTGAGATGAACGTGATAGCCAGTAGAGCACATCCTGTGGGCCACGCAGGAGCCAGGGTATTTTCCACACAGTATCTCATTAAATCCTCCTGTGGGGAAGGTGGTCCCAGTCGTGTCCACCATGCACCTGCAGCCTCACTGTCCCAAGCAGACTGTAAATGGGAGCTGACTACAGGCTGTGCTGCTGCCCGGACAGCAGCAGAGTCACACTGTGAAAGGAGCTGTCACCGCCCAGGTTTGCTGAGTCTAAAGGAGATGACCCTGACACCTGTGGGAGAATGCCACAGATTGTGCTTTCAAGAGCTTTCCACAGCTTCAGGTGTCACAGTACTATGTTGGAGTAGCTTGAGTCCTCAAAGTTCAGGATCACAGTCATATGACAGGAGAGGTGTGAGGGACACAAGAGCCCAGCACAATACTCTGGACCTGCCCAGCACTTGGGCACAGCCAGGTTAGCCAGATGGGCAGATGCTACACCCTCCTGACACTGTCATCTTCTCTTCTTTATAGGGCACAAACCTTGGGGTGAAGTGACAGGAGTCTCCCCATGCTGTCCATTGCAGGCACAGCATGAGGTCTGTGAGATGGGGCCCTGGGCAGAAAGAGGAGGCACTGCTGGCATGCTGCTCAGCCCTCCCGCTCTCCTGGGGGCCTGCCTTCTTGAGGTCTGCGTTCCCTTAAAGACTTTTAAATTTGGAATTTACAATTCAAATCTGAGATCTGCTGGATTTTGAAATAGGTACACAAAATAATTAAAAAGCCAGGTCTTGTGGTTCTTATTGTACAACTGGGCATATAGTTAATAAACGGCAAGTCTAAACTTTGTAATAATATGTGATATTTTTAGTAATGCTAATACAGAAGTAATGTTCATTTAAAATTAAACATATAAATTGACCATTAGCAGGAAAAAAAATGTAGTCTCAGAATATTTGCCGTAATTCAACACAATTAGAAAGCAGGGATTTTGCTACTGTTATATGTCTACACTTGTTAATTATTTTAACTTTGGATCCTTGAGTGGGCTAGGAATATAATATCTGTAGTGTACAGCTTTTAATCAAATTTAAAAACTTCAGAATGAGACTGAGACAACCATCTAGCACCTACCTTCCATTTATTTAGATCTGTTCCCAAATATCCACTAAAGGCCTTTTTGCCCCAAGGACAGAGCACTGGATTGCAAATTGGAGCAAATGCTGAAACAGACTGCAGAATCAAAAGAAATTTAGAAACAAGTTATATGTTGCTAAATCAAATATAAAGAGATATTTGCAACTTGCTTATAAACTCTGATTTGCCATGAAAACCCCTGTGAACAATTTTCCTTTTGCTATACTGGAGGTCTCACCATAACACCATTTCCTTTGTGTGTTCTACTAAGAGAGCTAAAGCAAAGCAATACAAAGCAATACATCACATTTTCATTAAGGTACAAATCGAAGTTTATATTCAGAGTTTCCACTCCTTTTTTCCACTTAAAATTAATGTGTAGTAATATAAAACAGTTCATGACTACCTTTCTGAACATGTTATTAAATCTGAGACACGTTGTTTCTCTTAAACAGTGCCAAAAAGCGATGAACGCCTTTAAACATGGCAGAATTTTTAATACAATATAATTTTGTGTTGTGTGCAATGTTTTTTGTCACTGGATGAGGTGCAGAGTGTGTGAGAGTGCTTATCAATGTTAGGTTTTTTTAAAAAACAAAAAAGTTGAAATAAATTTCATTTTCTCCCTCAAACACAATAAATTGCCTTATGCACAAAAATCAAAAATAAAACTTATTTTAAAAACCTGCTGTCATGCCATGAATTAATTTAACTTTACAATAAAGCTTACTAAAAGGAAAATATTTGGTGCCACAGCAAGAAACTGCTATGAGAAATATTTTCATTTCTCAGTGACATACCTCAAATGATTAAGAAGTTTTTCCTAAAGGAAGAAAATGGATTAAACAAATCTCGAGGTCTGTGGTAGCCCTGTTACTTTAAAGACAGCAGCAGTCTTAAGATGATCACTGCTTCAACATTTCCTTTTCAACACTATGGTATGCTGCTCTGCACAGTATGACACTTTAAACATATTGGTTATTCCAACTTGGCTTATTTAAACAAATAAAAAGTAAAGCTTCAAAGCTTCAAATAAATAAATAGAAAGTCTGAGAGTTATATTTTTCAATCAATTTGCATTCCAATTTTCATTAGAGGCAATAAGAACAGAGAATTCTCAAACTTTTGCAAATCATGGATATTTTCTCCCTTAGAAATTCAAAATTAACTATACAAAGATAGTCTTGGTAAATATACAAATGGTACATATTGCCACAATAACATTTAGGAAAGAAAATGCCTAGAAAACTAGTTTGAATTGAAGCAATGAAATATAAGATACAATTTATAATACTTCCAATATATCAACAAGAAACGACTGTAATTGAATTCTTATGCTCCTGATTCTGTAGCATACATTGTGTGGTCAAATTTAATACTCCTCCTTCATAACCTCTTGAAATTCCCAAGACTTCTAGAAAAGATTAGTTCCAATACTACAATAATATCCTAATTTCAATCTTTGACAGTTCCTAATATTATATTATCCAAGAAAGATATTTGTCACTAGAAGCTTAGGTAATCTTACTTTGTATTTTCCAGGATTCTTTAAAGCACAAATCAGAGCTCCATGGCCTCCCATGGAGTGGCCAAAAATAGACATCCTCTGGGGGTCCACTGGAAAACTGGCATTTATCAGTTGGGGAAGCTAGAAAAAATTTAATAGTGTGATAAAAGATACGAGAAAAAGTTTAGACTTTTACAAAGTTATATAAAATAATTACACAATCAGCACTTCTAACTCAGTCTTATAATGGCATGAACTAGTAAAGATTTAAAAAAAAATCTCAGGTGACAATGTAATTAATACATCACTGCAGAATACACGGTACATCTTCATCAGAAAGCAACTTTGGCAAGATGCAGAAAGAATCTTTAAAATGTCCTAAACTTTTGTTCTAATAGTTTCACTTCTTGGAATCTATTCTAAGGGAAAAGTCCTTAAGGGAAAGAATTATACAAAAATAATAAATGTAGTAATATGTATTATAGTAAAAAAATATATATAAAAACATAAATAGCTTACATTAGGAAAAAGTAAATTATGGCATATGACAGAATATTATACAATTATTAAAATTATGTTACAAATAGATCAGAATTTTGGAAAATATTTTGAAACTAAAAAAAAACAAGATAAAATAAGTTTTACAATTATATGATATAAAAAAATCTGGAATATACCAAAACATAGTTATTGCTTGGAACTATGGATGACTAAACTTCTATATTATTGTTTCTGAATTTTTATAATATAGTATATATTAACAATTAAAATCATGTAAAATTTTTAAAAATGCATAAACTGCACATGAATATTATTAATAAAAGTAATGCTTTACCACTTTATACTTTCTAATTAAGCCTTGATTAATCACTATAAAATGTGTCTGAATGAACCAGCTGCCAGAGAAATAAAAAGTGCACATAGGAATCAATATAATTATTAAATTCTTTAAAGTTAAACTCTTTAAAATTTAATTAACTTAGCGTTAATTAAAATGGCTGTAAATAGGATTATAGTACTAGTAAACTTTGGAATTTTCATAATTATTATTACATAGTTAATAAATATGTACTAAGTAGATTCAACAATACTGTACTCTAGTTTAAAATTCTCAGGACTAAAAGGACTTTGTGTCCAAAATCAAGCTTTTGGCAGTCATCAATTAATAATTACAATATAAATTAAATTACCTCCTTTGTTACATAAGAGTACATTCTGTAGTTAGTTTTCCAAGGATCTTCAGTGGCATCCACATAAAACCCAGCACCAGTGCCAAAGTCCCAGCTCTCATCTTCTCCTTTAATATTGCAGCCACCTATCAAGGAAAAACCTTGTGGTTTCATCTACTGTGTCATAACGGCCCATATTTAATATATTTTTAAATGAATCTAAAAGTTCATTTGTATTAAAGCTGTTCACCAAATATCGTGGGCTCTTTCTCTGCCTTTTAGGGCACATACATCCTGGCCCTCTTGGGCCCTGTGACTAGTTCTAGCCAATGAGGTGAAAGAGGGAATGCCCTACCAGCCTGGGGTATTCACTGCCAAGGTGAGTACACCGGCTTTCCTCCTATGTTTTTGAACATATACTTCCTTACTTTGTTTTATCTGTCAAAGGGATTATATCTTCTTTTTATCTTTCAGAAATGTTGAGATTCCTTATCTGATGATCCTCCCCCATTACCAACTTAGGTAATTCTCTTTGTCACTGTGGTCTTAGAAGGAGAGAGAGACAAATGCTTGTGCTCAATTCACTATCATGAACTGAAAATGTCTCCTTATATTCTTTGAAATTATTCTATCATGTTTCCTCTATTTATCCATTCCTCACTGGGATTTTCTTGTATTCGTTTTTATTAGGTTTTATTTTATATACTTGCATGTAGTTAAAAAGTCAACTACTGGGATTTTGAATAGAATTATAGTAATATGCAGAGTAATTTGAAGGAAATGACCTCTTCATAATGTTCAGTCTACCCATCCAGGAACATGAGATTTTTACATCTATTAAAATCTTTATTTATTATCTTTAGCAAATTTTGATTTATAAAAAATAAACCTGCATATTTTTAAAGTTTATTCCTAAGGATTTTTGTATTTTTGATGCTATTTTGGATTAAAATTTTTATTACATTTTTAACCAGACATGTCTTGTTTTTGTGTAACATGGCCTGTGAAAGGAAATGCACTACTTTGCAAGGTCAGCCATTTATTTAATTTCTGGATAGTTTTAGCTGCCATTTATATTCCATTGCCTGACACTTCTAAGGTCACAAAACGAGTTTTAACTATCTGATGGATTAAGTTCTCCAATGTTTGATATTCTCATTTGTCTAATGTAAACATTCTAATATTTATATTAAAACTAATACTTGTTTAACTATGTGATTATTTGTTAACTGAGATGAGACATAATTATCATAAGACAAAAATTTACCTATGAAACAGAAAAAATCTATGCACCTGCATGTCATTTTGATACCAGTGTCAATAAATAATAATCAAATTGTTCTGAAGCCTCTTAACTTGTAAAATTAGAACAGAAAAACTATTGCCCCTCATCAGAGTGATGTCAGGAGTAAAATTCACAGGAAAATGTGTATAGCATGGCATTTGAGTCATGATGCCACTTGAAAGATAAAGATAATAGCAAAAATATGAAACGGATATTATAGAGTACATATTAATCCACTTGTAACTTAGTCTTAAAGATTTATATTTTTACAAAGATCTCCGGAACAAGAACACTTACGAGGGCTGGTATCTGGAGCAATGACAACAAGGCCATGTTCTGAGGCAGCCTGATGATAACCGGATTTTGATATAAAGTTCTGTTCTGTACAAGTTAAACCTGAAGATAAAAAATATTATGTCATGCTATATTGCAAAGAGTTATAAACTTTAACCTTTTTAAAATACAGGAAAACAATCTCACTTGATATTATCAAAAATTTTATTTTTTGGAAACAATTCTGAAGAAGACACTAAGGTTCCTGTTATAAAATTTATAACAACATTAATCTAAGATCTGTCATAGGTTAAATGCTCCCACAGCTGTCCTTTAAAAATCACTCACTAAAGTTTCAAAATCCTCAGGACCATATGTGTTTAGGAATTCAGAATTTCTCAAGTTGTAGAACAGCAATATGGAACATAAAACAAATGTTATTAAACCCTAGTGAGGTGTCATCAAACATGCTAATCTGAAACATGTTACTATTCCTACATCAAAACATAAATATTCACAGTAAGTGAGGTAATATTATAATGGCCATCATAATACAAATAATTTAATATTTTTATATACAAGTAGTTCACAACAACAAAATTCACCCTACTCATCTTAATATTCCTCAATGTACTGCGAGAGTAATGGTCATCATATACCCTCCTTAAATTGAGTTTTAGCCCCAGTTTTTACAACTGTTTCTGTCATTTTTCCTACCACTATGCTTTTTAGTTATGTGATAGAAACGACTTAATTC